TTCCCTGGTTTCTTGACCCCGAGTCTGCAGCTCTCGGCACCTCAGCGTAGTGCTTCTCAATGCCACGTACACAGATGTGCAAAATGATACATCTCTTATTGGCAAAGAGTGAGTCTTCATCATGGACGTGATTTTAACTTCAACGCACTCAGTTACATGTATCCTTGGCAAACCAGACAGGGAGACAAAAAATAAGAATAATTTCAACCGTGCATGGCAACCGCTGTTGTTGTTTTACTCCAGAGAGCAGATTCTTAGAGAGGTCTCGGGATGGAAGATATAGACCTGCTATCTCCCCAACCATCTCACCTTCCAGGTGGATCTTATGGAGCGAACTAACGTCTCACCATGCTCCAGGACAGAGGTCACCTGGTGCCAAGAAGGCCAACCACACAAGGCTTCGCAGAAGGAACAAAAATGTGCACTAAGGCTGCTGGAAACAGGGCCCATAATGGATTTCATAATAAGAGGTAACATTCCTTACATGCATACTAAGTGCTTTATGGCTTTTTAACTCATTTAGCCCTCGCAAAATCTCTTTCTCATGAGGATATGAGGCTACAAAAGGCCAATCAAGCCAAAGAGCAAGGCTTTGAACCCCGACAGGAAATCTAAGTAATGTGCTCCCTTAACCATTAATGCAACGTGCCAGGGAATGGTGTTTGCAATGGGACCAGCATCATAAGGGACCCTGACCACACACAATTTCTGCCTCTTGCACTGACCTTAGATCCTCATCTTCGCACGAAACATCACCAGCGAACAAAGCCCCCGCCCCACTCTAGCCCTGACCAAAGGGATGAGAGAGATGATTTGAATCCTTAAGCAGCTGTGAGAAAAGACCTTTGGGAACAAGTTATGGGTGAGGGGATGACTACAAAGCAGGCACAGGTGTGGCCTGACAGGTGTGTGCTAGGTAGGGTGGTCATCCAGTTCCAGAGCGAAAGGGGGTGCTATAAAGAATTACTTCAGGACTACAGGTGTCACCCCGACTGAACGAGGCAAACGCAGCCGTGTGTTAGATGCTGTGGGGTCACCGAGATGGAGACACCCTCGCTGCCCTCCGAGCTCACAGCTCGCCAGGAGAGAAGAGACAGGTACCTACGTGCCGGAACACAGCAGGCAGAGAGGGCAGGGGGCTAGAGCCAGAGTTTCAACGCCACGTCCAGAGCTCGTCCCCCTGGACTCCAGTTTCACACAGGGAAACAAAATCGGTTTCCTTCAGAAACTCACGGAACGTGAAGCAAAGAAAATGGAGGTGTCCCCGGCCTCAGCCACTGAACAGAAATTTCATGGACATGGTGGCATTTGAACTGGGCCTCGGAGGATGAGCAGGACCTTGATCAGCTGGGAAACAGAAGAAACGGCACACGTTTGACTTTTCTCTCGGCCCCCTCCCCGCTCCTCACGTGCCCAAGGGGCTGGTGGTTTCCGGCCGACCTGAGGTGGTAGCCTCTCGAAACCCTCCTGGGACCAGGCAGGAAAACGGGTGTTTCAAGTCGGCCGGGGCTCCGGGGACGGTCACAGTTCCCCCGAGTCTGTCTGTCTATGCCCCACACGGTCAAGCGCGTTGGCCCCAGAGGTCCCTGAGGAAAAGGCCTGGGAGGGTATTATCCAGCCTCTGTCCAGGCTCCTAGTCAGATGGCCAAAGGAGTCCAGGTGGCAAACATACGCTCTGGGCAGTTGGGGCCCAAATCCCAGCGTGGAGCCTGCAGAGGCTGGAGGTAGCAGGACAAGTTCTGATGCTCACCTCCCTGGAGACCCAGCTAACCGACTGGCTCAGCATCTCTGAGGACAGACAGCACGCGGTCACGGCGGCGGAGCGCGAGCCGAGAGCAGGAAGGGGAGGCCTTGAAGGCCGAGATCAATGTCTAGCTGGAGATCACGCTCAGAATTCTGCTCCCCGTGAGCAGACGGAGGGGTCTGGATTTGTGTGTTTCCTCCTCACAGTGCTAAGACCAGTGATCCAAGTGGAAACGATGAGCTTTCTTTTCCCTGCTCAGGTTTAGTGCAGTTACGAATAACAGCTGCCGTTCACTGAGTGCCTGCGAGTATTCTATTACCAGGTGTTGCAAGCCCCACTTTACAGACGAGAAAACTAAGTCTCCGCAAGATCAATACTTGTAAGTGGCAGAACTGGGGCTCGAGCCCACGCCCCATGGCTCCTGCACCCCCACCCCGATGCCCTCCTTCACTCTAGGTCCCGTCTATTTGGCCCGTGACCGCCGCTTGCTGTCCCAGGCTGTGCGTCTGACCAAGTTGAATGTCACCATGCACACGCCCCAGCCAAGGAGAAAGAAAATGCCCAGTGCCTCGCGGAGCAAATTCTGCAGACCTAGCTGGAGGGGAACACACTGTCCTCGCAGAGCCGCCCTTCCCCCAGGCTGAGCCCCCGGCCTCGAAGGCCCCACCCTGTGGGCTGTGTTTATTGAAACCCTACTCTTCCCCAAGGCCTGGCTCCAGTGCCAGCTTCTCAGAGACGCCCTCCCTGGCCTGATCCATGGCCCCCGTGAACTTAGCAGCTGGCCAGGTGCAGGGCCACCCACTCTCATCTGCCTTGACCTCTGCAGGCAGGGGCCAGGTCTCCCCCTCGCCCCATGCCCCACAAGGCTCCGCACACTCTCGGGGCCCAGAGCCCCTGGGAAGTTTGCGGCCAGCATTGTAGGTGGACGGTGCCAGCGTAACGGGTGTCTCTGAGGGCTCACAGTGCTGCCAGCTGCCCTTTCCCGGCCCTGGGAGTGGAAGCACCCCGCGATGGCTATGCCCTTCCCAGAAGCAGCGCCCCGCCTGGGCTCCTGCCTCTCCGCCCCGCTTGGCCGGCCGGCTCCGCGGCAGCCTCCTCTAAGCTTTCCTGCACCGCGGTCAGTCCGTCTGGGCACCTGCCTCAGCTTCCCGCTTTGTGCTCCACTTTGCTGAGGCCCCCTTGGGCCTGGCCTTCCTCCGTGCTCCAAGGGCTAGTCAGGGACTCAGCTCCCGGCATAGCTCTCTCGCGGGAGGTGCCATTTAGGCCACCGGTATCCCCACTCTGCAGCCACCCTTCGGCACAGCAGGTCAGACTCCTCCAGATGTGGGCACAAGCCTGAGCCAAGCTCAAGGTCATGGGCCCCCTCAGACCTGGTCCCCGGGGCAGATGCCCTACAGGAGCCAGTGCTGCAGCACCAGAGTCCAGCAACTGCCCCCATTGCCCTCCCCGGCCACCGAGGCCTGCCGCCCCAGGGAAGACAGTCCCAGGTGCCACACAGCGGGCATTCAAGCCACATGGGGCAGCACGGGGGCCTGGAGGGTTTTAGCGAGGGGCTTGACGACCAAGCGCGCGGGGCGGCGTGCAGTTGGGAGAGTCGTGGAATAGAAGAGAAGAAAAGATGGACCTGAAGTCCTTTCTGTGGATGAATCA